TCCGTGTCCCATGCGTCCTCTTCCTTCCGGCCGGCAAACACCGCCAACCTGAGTGTGTCACACACCTGCTGAAAAATCTTCCACTGGGTCAAAATTCCAAGTCCTTATGGTGACACGCTATTCTACCCTTAGTTTTTCATGCTCGCCTCCCTGGCCTGTCCTACCCAGCCCAGGAGAATTCTCTGCAGCCCCCAAACGCCCACACGTCCCACCAGATCTCCACCCCTTTGCACGTTGGAGCAACCCAGGAGCAACGTCCTGTCCAGCCTCCAGCCTTCAACCCCATTAGCCAGGCGAGGCTGCTCATTCCTGTGACTCAGGCACGCTGGCTGCTGGCCTCCCCCGGATGCTGGCCTCGCACCGCCCCCAGCACTTCCCTGCCTCAGAGCCCAGCGTCCATCCTGCAGCCGCTGGCTTATGCGCCCACTGCCCCCTCCTCCATCTCTCATCAGGAGCAGTGGTCAACATCTGTTCATTTCTAGGTGCTCAGAGCCCAGCTCGGCCACTGGCACGATGCTGAAACACTGAATGACTAAAAGCAGAAAGGAGAGAAGGAATTAAAAACGGACTTTATGACGCTTTCATCCACAGCCTAAGCTGTTAGCAGCTCATTGCCTCTGGGCTGTGAGGGGTAGAGACCAACCATGAAGGGGCAGGAGGAAACTTTCTGGGGTCCTGGTAATGTTCCGTATCTTGATAGGGGTTGAGTTATCTGTTTATCAAAAATGTCATCAAATGGTAACAGGAATGTCACTGTACGTATTTCACTTTAAGGAAAACAAAACTATACACAGATAATGGTTTGCATGGTGAAGTGTTTGGATGAAGGCCACTAATGTATTTCAAAGGAAGTTTCAGACATCAAAAAAAATTAGCTGGTTGGCAGGCTGGCTAGACAGTTACGTGATAAAGCAAGTTAGGCAAAATATTAACTGTAGAATCTAGTCGGTGGGTAGATGGCTCTCCCCGTGCAGTTCTTTCAACTTCTCTGTAGGTTGGAAAAGTTCATAGTAAAATGCTGGGGAAGAAATGTTTCATATTTATGGACAGGGCTAAAAATACCTCTTACTCCAAATAAGCTGAGCGGTTTTCAATGAATGTGCTAACCCAGAGATTTCCAACTGCGAGGATCTTATCGAGATGAGGCTGAGTCAGCAGGGCTCAGGAGGAGGCCCGAGACGCTGCACTTCCAACGAGCACGTGGGGACGCTGATGGTGCTGGTCCGAGGGCCCCGCTTTGAAGTGAGGGTCTGCTGCGTGACCACATTTGGCCTTGCTGCCCGCAACCGCAAATGGAAACCCCTAACCCTAAGCAGCAGTCTCAGGGCCAGCATGAGAAGAGGACCAGAGGCTGGGGAGACGCAGGGAACAGCCCCAGCAACAAACCAGGACAGGAATAGACGTCTGAGTCATGCACCGGGGTGGGCACAGGGCCAGCTGGGGAGGACGGCCAGCTGTGTGACTCAGCAGGAGGGAGTGTGGAGAAGCACAGGCTCCCACCCAGGCCTGCGGAACCGTGGCCCACTCCTGGGCTTGGCTGACCTGTCTCTCTAAGGACAGGCGACATGTGGCTACTGCTCTGAGGACAGGAGAGAGGCAGGGGCCGGACTCTCCTGACCTTTCAGGCTCCGCTGAGATACCAGCCCCGAGGGTGACAGGCAGAGAAGCCACCTACAGTGTCCCTCCTCAGACCTGGGGCAGGACGGGGACGGAGCGAGCACCAGGTGGAACCTCAGCCCATTTTCAAGACAGGGACACTGAAGTCCTGAAAGGAGGGGCGACTGGCCCAAAGTCCCCAGTCTAAAAGTCACGTGATCTGCTTCCCCGCCTTCATCATCTCAATTGTGGTTCTGTGCTTATGTGTCGGTTGACCTGCTTAATGGCTGTCTCACCACGAGACCAGGAGCTTCAGAGGGTACACGGCAGACTGTATTTTCCAAAGATGGCCAGACGTTATCTGCCACCCCATGTGCTCTTCTCACGGTGAGATGTGGTCACGCCCCCACCTAGAGGTGGGTCTATGTTGTCCCCAACCCCCAAGAGTTGCTCCTAGGCAGGCTTTTGTGATTGCCTCAATCAAGACAGTAGGGCCGGAGTGATATTACGTGACTTCGGGGACCAGGTTGTAAAAGGTATCACAGCACCCCACCCCCACCCCCGGACTCTCTCTCAGAGCACTCACTCTTAGAGAGCAGCAGCCATGCTGTGAGGAAGCCCAAGCCGCTTGGGGAGACCACATGGAGCTGTCGACCCCGGCCCAGGCTCCAGCCAGCGGCTGCATTCACCCCCAGACATGTGAGTGAGGAAGCCTTCTGGCAAACTCAAGCCCCCGCCGCCATCTGACTGTGACTGCAGGAGAGACCCCAAGTGAGAGCCACCCGGCTGAGCCCAGTCAACACCCAGGACTGAGAAACAAGAATAAACCAGGGTGGTTTGTTACGGAGTAACAGACAGCCACAGCAGGACAGGAATCACAATCTACTTCACACATGATGTGTCTCCATAGCTAAGCGCCCTATTGCAACAGATGCTAAATCAATGTCTATTGAAAGGATAAAGGAACCCAGGTGGGATTAAAACTCAGGATCTGCCCAACTGCAGATTTCGAGGGTAAGTTAGGGTCTAACAGCCCCCCTCTCTGAGCTTCAATTCCTAAAACAGGAAAAGAGTGAGTGGGGAGGAGAGTCGGAGGGCCCGGCCCCCCTCCCCTTCCCATGGCCCAGGCTTGAGCTGCTGGAGCTGAGAGGTCAGGCCGCCCCAGAGTGGCAGGGCAGGCCCCAGGCCCAGGCTCCTAGGAATGCAGAAAATACAATGAAGGGAGGAAGGCAGTTCTATGAGCCACTTCCCTGCACATGTGCCCAGGGAACAAGTGAGAGGAACATTACCCAGATCCCTGGAGGGAACCAGAAATCCGAAATTCCCTCCAGCATAAAGTGCCCAGGATGGTCCCCTGAGACGGCTGCCCACGGCAAGCCTGAAGGGTCAGGAATCCCCACGCCAGCCCGTCAGCCCCATTGGGGCTCGGTTTAACCTCAGGGGAACCCAAGGTCTGCAGCCACCTAGGGGGGTGTGACTTGTTCGGTGTGATCCTTAGCTCCACAGAACAGTGTGACATTTAACAAATGTTTCCTATGGGGACAGTCCACTGCCACAAACCCACCCAGGCACACACACACACACTGATGAACAGCAGACACAACCATCATAGATATCCAAGCCCCTCCTTGGTGCCAGGCGTGGGCAGGAGTCCAGTGGGTGCCACAGGCATGGCTGCTGCCTTTGTGGACCTTATACACCCACAAACACACATGCATACACTCACAGACACATGTCCACAAACACATGAACACAAAAATATGCACATGCGCGCACACACGCATGCATGCATGCACACACACAAATGCACACTTTGCTCATTTCTCCAACCCAGTTCCGCCTTCAGCAGGGAAATCCAAGAATGGGGTCTCTCAGGACACAAGCCAGGACCCGGGTTTCTAAAAAATACACTGGTGAGTGTCTACCTTCGTTCCCACAAAGGCAGCCTCAGCCTTTTGCTGAGGTTCACACCAAACCCAACAGAACCACAGCAGTTGAAAACTGCGCCTGTTGCAATTTCGCCCGTTAACAGCTGATTAATCACGAACAAAGCATCAAATAAATGCTCCGAAAGCATCCTGTCCCTCTTAGAATAAGAGGCACACAGCTCATCCGGCCTGCAGGTGACTGTCCCCACCTCTCAGGTGCTATCCCTCAGCCCTCTCCAGCCATGCTGGTCTGTCCTGCTGTTCCCTTGCCATTCCATAGTAGCTCCTGCCCCAGGGCCTTGGCACTTGTCAGCCCTCTGCCTGGAAACGCTCTTGCTCTGGGAATTTGCTTGGCTCACTCTCACTCCTTCAGGTCTCTGCTCCAACGCAGTTTCCTGGGAGAGGCCTTCCCTGACCGCGCTTATCAAAAACTGCACACGACCCCCAACATCAATCATCTCCGCTTCCTCTCCCTGCTTTCTTCTTCTCAGCATTTATCACCACCTGACAGATACGTGGGGCCTGGGTTACTGTTTGCACCCTGCCTCCCATGACAACATAAACTTCAAGTGGGCAAACACTCTGCTTTACTCACTGCTACGGCCCTGTGCCCAGATCGGGGCCTGGCACTCGGCACAAACTCAGTAAATGTCAGCTGCCATCATATTAAAGACAGTGTGTACTGTACACAGCGGACGCTCAATAAATGCTCTATTTCTTTTCCTTCCTTTGCCTGATGCCATTTCCTGATTAGCTCAGGCTGGCAGGGAACAATAGGACAGGTAGAAGGAGGGAGAGGAAGGGGGAAGGAAGAGGGGAGGCAAGGGTAACAAATGACTGTGTCCCCTTTTATTCTCCCAGCAGGAAGAGTGACCATCTTCACCCTGACCACTGATATCCTGCACATACAGGATTTCCCACCGAATGAAAGAACAGACCGAGGGTCTCCAACTCGAATCCCTGGGGCCAGGCACATCCCTAAGCAAGCCTGTACAGGGCGATAGGGGGTGGTGGGGACTGTGGCAAATGAGGGCAACACTCCCCAGCTCTGGCCAACTGTAGCCATGCGGGTAACAGCCTTAACGCTGCCAGAATGTCTTGTTTTTCTAGAAAACCTGGACAGTTAAAATTTATGTGAAACTTCCCCATTTTTAAATTTTTGCTCACATTTTCTAAAATCTCTATGCCAACAAATGAGAAAATCTACAGGCCTGCGAGACACAGCAGATTACAACTACGACTGTCATCAGACTCCCTCCCTAAGGCCCCACCCCCACCCCAGCTACACCTACGGCTCAGTTTTCCCACCTGTAAAGCGAGGAGGATGCGATTACCATCTCCAGGTGTTTGGGGAAGGTGGAAGGAGAGAACCCAGAAGGATGATAACGGCTCAGGACAAGGGCCCAATCAACGTCAGCCGTCGCTGCACAGTATTTCTCTCTCACACACACTCGTGGTCCCTGTGGTCACACTTACGGGGTCGTTGATGGTTTCAGAGAACAGGGGCGCGCGGTCTGAGAAACAGGACAGCACGAGCTGAATCAGCACGAGGGAGAAGTAAATGTAGAAAGTGGCATCACGAAACACGTCGACTTTGGCGTCCTAAACGTGAGGGGTGGAGGAGGAAGAGCGGGTGACTTTCTGGGAGCAGGCCGCAGAAGTCCCACCTGCTCAGAACACAGGCCCGGTGACAGGCTTTCTGCCCCATCCCACGCCCCCGCGAGGTAACACACGACAGGCGGTTACATCGCGGAGTGGTCCACACCACCTGGGGAGGGCGTCCCCTACGCTGCAAGGAGGCCTGGGGGTGAAGCAGACCCCCCCACAGGGGCCTGGCTCTGCTCGTGCTGGCTGTGGGACTTGGTCAGCTTCCTTAACCTCGCTGTGCCGCAGTTCCCCCCATCTACAGACAGACCGGTGGTTCTCAACTGGGGGTGACTTTACATCCCAGGGAACACCCGGCAGTGTCTGGAGACCATTCTGTTTGCTGTAAGTTGGGAGGGTGCCACTGGCACCCCGTGAGTGGAGGCCGGGGATGACCCTAAACGTCCTACAAAGCACAGGACAGCTCCTCACAGCAAAGACGCCCCCGGCCCAAATGCTGATTAGCACTGAGGCTCAGAAACCCTGGCAGGGTATTGATGGCAAGAGCGTAGTGCCCCTCTGGCACTTTGAAAACATGGACTCAGTAAATGTCAGCTGCCATCACTACTAAAGACAGTCTGCACTGTACACAGCACGCACTCAATACATGCTCCACTTCTTTTCCTTCCTTTGCCTGATGCCAGTTCCTGATCAGCTCGGGCTGACAGGGAACAACAACAGGATACAGTCTGAAAGTGCACACTCTTCAGAATTCCTAGGAGCAGCAGCACATGGCAGCCAACATGAGTCACTTCACAGCCTGAGTAGTGGCTGACGGCACTAAGGTAACATGGGGACAACCCAGGGCCCCCTGGGGGAGCAGCTGCTCTGCAAACACAGCTCCCGGCTCGGCTCTGTTCCAACACCCAGCCTTGCTGTGGGCTGCTGAGAGAGACTCACAGGGCCGTGTGCGTCTGCCTGTGGCTCCCGCCCCTGGAGGACCCACATGGGCTCCTCGGAGCTACACAGACAAGTGTGGCCCTAAGGAAAGAAGGTTCTAGAACAATAGCTGGATGAGGTAGGGAACTCCCTGGGGATTAAGCCAGGCCTGTGTGGTACCCTCCCCCCAGGTTCCCATGGCAACACAGAATTTCCACACAAGCCAAAAAGGAGTAGGCATCTCTCCCAAGGGCCGCTGCTAGAAGACGCAGCGTGAGGCCACCACTTACCTCTTTTAAGGCAGTCATGATTTTAGATCTCAAGATGGCAATGGCACATAGTAGGGCTATAAGCCAGAATGTGAGCATTATTCCTGAGGACTGGACTCCTTTCCTTCTCTCGAGCTGAATTAAAAAGGTAGCAAGCAGCTGGAAGAGAGAAGAACAATAAGAGTCATCAGGAGAAGGCCAGGCCCCCAAAGCCCCCATGGTCCAGGAGCCTGGCAGACATTAGGCTGGGAGCAGGGCTGCCCTCAGCCCAGTGCTGCAAGAACAGCCTGGGGGCGGACCTGGCTCCAGCCCCAGCTCTGCTCTCGCCTTGCTGGGTAACCCTGAGCAAGTTACTGAACCTCTCTGAGCCTTCACTGCCTCGTCTGCAAAATGGAAGTGATAACAGCATTGAACTAGAGAGTTGTGGGAATTTAATGAGACCGTGTATAGATCTGGGATAGGATGGAAAAGTCGAGGGGAAAGTGTAGCGCAGGAAAGAGACGGGCACACTTTTGCTTACAAGATCAGACAATAAATGTGTTAGGCTTTGTGGACCACAGACTTTCTGTCACAACTACTCACCGTTGCTACTGTAGCCTGAAAAGCAGGCCCAGAGGGTACATGGATGAATGGGCATGGCTGCGTGCCAATAAAATTTTATTTACAAAAGCAGGCGGAGGGCCCACCGTTGATTTAGAGCTGAAATACCTGTGTTCAAACTCCCCTTTGGGCAATGGTGATACCTGCTCTTTATGGCGCACCTGTTACCTTCACCCCGTACGAAGCATTCACTGCACTGACTAGCTCAGTGCACCCCGTGGCCCCGAGAGGGAGAGCCCCAGTTTGCAAATGAGGAAACGAAAGTTACTTAATCTGCCTACAGTCACACATCTCATCCTCAAGGATCTTCATTAGAATGATGGTGGTGGAGAAACGGGATTATGGTTTCAACCCTGATACCTGGGGCTACGACTTCCATTTGACACATGGCTTCATGGTCAGGGAGAGAAAATGAACAAAACTTGCTTTTCCTTGAAAGGAGGAAATGTCACGGCCCTCCCTCCAGTCACAGTCGCAAGCCGTCTCCTAGGGAGCTGTAGGTTACCCCCAGCACCCCTCCCTGCTCCCCAGCTGCTAGAGCCAGAAACAGGTGTATCTATCTGTCCTCGGGTCTCCCATCTCCTTCACTCCCCATAGCTAATCCATCAGTCACACACGTCGGCTCTGCCACCAAGGCCCGTCCTTAGCTTACCTGCTGCTCACCCTGGTCCCAGCCTCCATCCCCTTGCGATGGGTAACCCCACGGGCACCCCCACACCAACCCCCAGGTTCCACTCCTGCCCAACAACCCATTCTCCACACAGAGGCTTTTAAATATGCAGAGTCAAACCCTTGGTCAAAACCTTTGTCTTTACGACTGGGGGTTTTAACCCGGGGTTCAAGGACAGGCTGTGGCTAGAACCCAGGAGTCCATGAACTTGGATGGGAAACTATTACAGCTTCAGCTTCCTGCATCAGCGCCCCAACTATAAGTGAAGGTAGTAAACCACAGTGGTATTAGCAGTATCAGGGACTCTGTCACCATCAGAAATGGTATCTGAGGGCCGGCCGAGTGGCGCGTTGGTTAAGAGCTGGCTTGGGACACCAGCTCTGAGCAGCAGAGCACCGGTTCGGATCCCACAGGAGGACCAGTGACGCTGCGTGCTCTACAGCTAAGATGGTGAACAAGAGCTCGACCTGGAGCTGGGCTGACGTGAGTCGCCGGTGACGGCGTAGGCTGCAGTGGGTTGCCGTGAGCTACCGTGAGTGGCTGGCAGCCAGCTTGAGCTGCCAAGAGCCCCCGTGAGCGGCCATCCAGAGGCCGGCGCCCGATCTGCCTCAACCGGGAAGAGCGCAATGTTAATACCAACATGGGCCAGTGAAGCGAAGTCCTCCACAATTAGACTGAAGAACAAAAGGACAGCAACTTGTCTGTTCCCCTTCCCCAATTCCCCAACGCTGTTCCCCTCCCCAAATTCCCCAATTAAAAAAAAAAATTGTATCTGAAAATACATAGCTAAAGATTTCCCAAGTATCCTGTACAGTCACTGCTATCTGGAAATGAAGGACTCAACACATGCTGCTAGATCGTGATTTGAAATGCATTCATGGAGAAGCGCCCACATTTCTTACTCTGTTTTTTCATCTTCTGATAACTGTATTGAAACATAATTGGTTTCCCAGCCCAAATGTCCTGCTACTGAAGAATGGATAAGCAATGGTAAAACCATGCAATCAAATACACTTAGCAATTAAAAAAAAAAAACTCTGGATATACACAGCACAACTGAAGCGTCAGACTCAAACTGCTCCAGCCTGCGTGGTTCTGTTCACCGGACACTTTGGAAAAGGCAAAGTAACAGGGACAGGAAACACGCCAGCAGTTCCCAGGGGAGGGTGGAGGCAGGGGCTGACTACGAAGGAGCGGCACAGGAAACTTCGGGGGTGATGGACATGTTTGGGGAGGTGAGAGTTACAAGACCGTATGTGCTTATCAATTAAATCTCAAGTAAAAATATAAATGTACAGCACGAAATCTTCATATGTATGTGCGAGTGTGTGTGACTGGATTCCTTTTTAATCCTATGTATTTTATGTTTTTAAGAACAGCATTCTGAGGAGACCAGACTGGCAAAGGAGAAAGGGGTCCATGACACGAAAAGGTTTAGAAGCCAGCTTTGGGAGTGAAAAACAAAACCCACTTACCCTGAAGCTCAGGGTCCCACAGGGTCAGGCCACTGCCCTCCGTGCCATTCCAGCTCCACGCCTCTCTTCCTCACACTCTTTGCCCCAGACACACAAGCTAACTCTCAATGTCTCCCTCTAACCCCAGGACTCTTGCACATGCTATTCTTGCCAACTGGTCAGTCCTCTGCCCACAGCCCCTTCAACTTTTCGTTCGGGCCTCAGCTCCGTCGTCTCTTCCTCCCTCCCCTCCAGATCAAACCAAGTTCCCCTAACTTCTCCCTTACAGCAAGCAAACATGTGTGCCTTTTTCGGGACTGATTCATTGAATGTCTGTTTACCCAGCTGGACTGCACACTCCATGAGGATAGGAACTGTGTCTGCTTTATCTTCAACCCCTGGCACTTATCAAGGATAAAAAAATACTTGCTGACTGCCTCGCATCCCATATTCCCAGTGCCTGCCAGTCCCGTCCCCAAGGATGTCGGGAGAATGTTTCTGTAGCATGAACGGGGGGCTGGTCCTTCATTCTGTCGTGGAGCCTGAGGGGGACAGAGACTGATGATCTCACAGGCCAGTTTGCCTCTCGGCCGACCCATCTCGGAGCTCCAGGGGGAATCAAGCCCATCACACGGTGGGCCTCAGCATCACAGACTGAGGAAGAATGAAGAATCAAAGGACCAGGAACAGGACTAGTTTTGGGAGTGTGAGCTACTCCAGCCCAAACTAGTCCACCCTGACACCCACTTGTTAAAATGTAGAGTCCAAGACCTTCAGGCCAGCACAGCCAAGCCTTTATTTCCCCGCGCCCCAAACACATTTATGGAGTGCTTACTGCATGCCAGGCACGGTGCCAGGCTCTGGGGACACAAAGGAGAGCAAAGACCAGCAGGAGCGCCAGGGATTAGCAGAGCCCCACCGACACAGTGGGGCAGAAACCAGAACCAGCCAGGCTGGGTGTGAAGCCAGCTCTGCCGCTTACTGGCTGTGTGACCTTGGACCGGTTCCTTCACTTCTCTGTGCCTCAACTTGTTTATCAACAAAATCGGGATAATGAGCTAACATTCTTAAACGAATGGATACGCCAAGGGATTAGAACAGTGCCTGGCACACAGCACAGCTGTAAGGACTCGCTGTCCCTCACAATCTTGCTCCAACTTGCCTCTCTTGACCCGTCTTCTGTCACATCCACTGTCCGCCCCCTGAACCCCTGCTCCACGATCCTGCTTCACAGAGCGGCTCATCTTCCTTCCCCAGATACTCCCTTTTGGCCCCCAACCCTTCCTTGGACACACTGCTCTCCCTGCTCAAAACGCCCTGCCCCAAAATTGCTCCCTAACTCATTCTACAACACTCAAGGGTTATGCTCACCGAGAACCTTTCAGGCTTCTCAGAGGACCCAAGACACATGGTATCTTGCAGAAATGGCCCTTAATTCAGAGCATGTCACTGTGGAATGCAAGAGCTAAATGCATGGCCTCTGGGGTGACCACCTCTCCCTTGGCTATGTTATTAGCTGTGTGACCTTTAGCAGGGCACATAACCTCTCTGTGCCTTAGTCGCCTCGCCTTAAAATACAGACAAAGCAGAACCTATCCCACAGGGTTGATCTGAGAATTTGACATAGTAAGTACTCAAATCACTGTCAGCTGCAATTAAGTACTTCCCCTGCTTGTATCTCCCACTAAATGAGAGACCCCCGTGGGGCAGGGTGGTTCTATTCAGCTTGGAATCCCACCCTTGCACCAGAGCCTGAAAACTCAAGAAGCCATTGGGTCTTGGGCAATTACTATAAACGACTGAGCTGGCCAGTGCAAGAAGAGAGTACAGCAAGTGCAACGGAGGAGGGCACCTGCCATTCAGCCTCTGGGCAGGGAGGACAGCAGGGCCTGGTGGGGACTGTGGTAACCTGGACAGTGCATGCCCCCTTTAAAGGCTGCAGTCACCCCACAGCTCCAGCTGCCTGCTGCTCTAGATAACTACGAGTCCGGTGTCGCCAGCTCTTTGAGTTTTTCAAGCGAAGCCAGATTTCTGGATTTTTTGCTGTGAGATCCTCTCATTTCAAAATGCTGGCCACTGCTTTTGGTCTTCACGGTGCCAGCTCCTACTTACCATGGTGATACCCAAGAAGGTAGGGCTGACCAGGAACACGGGGGCCGGGAACTCGCCCCAACTTCTTTCCCAGAAAGAGTAGAAGAGGTCTGCCCAACAGACGAGCCAGAGCAAAACTCCCAAGGCCTGGAAGAGAAGTACATGCAAAGCTTAAAATGGGTGGCACTGGAACTCACCCCTGCTCAGCCTCAGGGGGACCTACCAGCCCCTAGACTATCAGCTGTGGTCCTTGGACATAGCACAGACCCTCTGGAACACAGAGAGATGCTCTGTGGCGTTACCCACCATCTGGGCCATTTCACTCGTCTGTAACCAGCATCCTGTCCTCCCCCGCGCCCCCGGCATGACTATTGGTCTGGTCACTATTTGCCCCAGCACCTGAAAACTCAGGAGATCTGTCTAGAGCTTGTCTGGGTCAGCAACCCCAGCAGCGAGCATAAGACCCCTCTCACAATAACCATTCATTCAACAATATTCATCTGGCCAAAATTTATCGGGGGCCAACTATGGGCCACACACTTTTCAAAGTGCCAAGGATCCAACAGGACACGAAACAGACAAACGTGCCTCCCTTAGACTTATCAGGGGAATCACTTCATAAATTACATAAATGACTAACCACTACACTGTACACCTGAAACTAATTTAAAATAATACTGAATGTCAACTGTAACTAAAAAAAATAGTCACGGGGGTATAAAATACAGCATAGAGAATACAGTCAATAATATTATAATAACTATGCACAGTGTCAGATGGGTAATAGACTTATTTATTGGGGTTATCACTTTGTGAGGTATATAAGTGTCTAACTACTATACTGTTTTGTACACCTGAAACTAATTTAAAAAAAAAAAGTGCTTGCCTTCATGGAGCTGAGATTCTAGTGAAAACAAACAGGCAAGAAGCAAACTTAAAAATATATACAATAATGCCAAAGAAAAATAAGTGATATGAAAAAAAAATAAAAGAGGAGATTGGGTGTCAGCCTCTCCGATCAGGTGACATCTGAGTAAAGGGCCAAAAGTGAACATTTGAGGGAAAAAACAAATCAGGCAGAGGGACAGCAAGTGCAAAGGCCCTGGGGTAGGAACATGGTGGATGGGTTTAGGGCTGATGCGGAAAGAGCAATGGGTGTGGCAGGAGATGGCAGGCACAAGAGGAGCCTGGAGCCACTGAGAGGACTTCTGGACTGTGGTGAGCAAGTGCTGGAGGGTTTCTGAGCAAGACAAGAACAAAAGCCAATTTATATTTTAAAGGCAGATGTTTCCCAGGGAAGTGCTCCCAGAGGTCTAAGGAAGATATAAGATCTAATTCAAGAGAGGGCAATGGGTCGCATTTGGAGATGCGCTTGAATAGGCAAAGGGACAGCTGCAATAAAATCATCCAAGTTTTCCTGTTTACCAAGGGTTCATGGAAATAAGCCTTGGCAAACGTGGCTTTAAAAATTACTGAGAAAGGTGTAACTATAAAATGTAAGTGACCGCTAGAGCATTCGTGGCTACCTGGCGATACCTAGACAATGGCAAAGCCACAATGAGTTAAGTTACAGGGGCCAGGCTTTCCGACTTCTAAGTAACTTCCCTCACATACTAGCCCTTCCACTCACTGAAGGGCCTCAGAAATTATTTGTCATTTTGTTTTTTTAGCATGATTGGGAACACTGGAAAACTCTTAAATCCTCAGATGCCAGGGGTCTTCTTTAATATCAGTGCTTAGTAGAAACTAACTCCATAATAAATGGACTTCAATTCCACATGTGGTGTGTTTAAGCACGCTTAAGTAAGAAGCCCATTTGTTAAATGTCTTTTTAAAATGTCAACATTTGAATGAAGTTTTTGATATATTCATTTGCTACATCAACCATGGTTTCATAATTGACCTTTTTGAACAACTTGGTTTCAGAACTTGTAAAATGAACTGAGAGTCTTGTGTGTCAAATTCAGACGTGTGAGAATAATGTGTTCATCAAGCATGGGTCTTGCAAAACACACACACAGGCACACAGACGAAAAGCAAAACAACGAACAAACGAAACCTACTGAGATAGATACATGCGAAGTGGAGGGGAGAAGGTGGAATGAGGAACATGGTGTGTACATGCTGTTTAACACGACTTCCCCTCAGAAGGCTTATCTTTGAGGGGCAGAACGGCAACTGCGCAGGAGAAAGCAGGCGCCATTTTGACCACATGACCACACCCCTTCAATGAGCAAGTTACCGTGTGATCCTACATGTAACAGCCGGAGGACACCACGTCCCTCTTGCAGTTTCCCTTTCAGACATGTGTCCCCTGAATCTAATCATGAGAAAACATTACAGGCCTAAGTGGAGGACTCAGTCTAAAACAAAAGGCCCAGGGGCCAGCCGAGTGGCTCAGTTGGTTAAAAGCTCACTCAAGAGTGCGAGCTCTGAGCGACAGGGTCGCCGGTTCGATTCCCGACCCAAGCTGAGCTGCCAACAGGTGGCAAAATGGCTCAGTTTAAAAAAAAAAAAAAAGACAGTAAATAAATAAAACAAAAGGCCCACATTGTTCAGCTCTGTCAATTTCATAAAACACAAAGAAAGGTGAAGGGACCTTCCAGATAAAATCAAACTAAAGGACAACGTGACTCAGTGCAACACGTGACCTTGGCCTGGATCCTGAACTGGGGGAGAAAAATGCTCAAAAAGACACAGTATTGGGACAATTGACAAAATGGAAATGCAGACAAATTTTGTAAAAAAAAACAAAAACCATTATGTCCATGTTAAATCTCCTGAATTTAATAATTGTACTGTGGTCCCCAATAAAAATCTTTAAAAAAAAACACAACCAAAAAAACCCCAATAAAAATCTTTAAAAAAAATAACAACATTGTACTGTGGTTACATTACAAGAATTAATGGGTAAAGGGGCTGCTATCTACTCTCGAACAATTCAGAAAATAAATAGTAGGTGTATATGGAGAGGACAAAAGCGAATAATAAAACAAATATGGCAAAATGTTACACATCGGTGACTGAAAGCAACGGGTCTACAGGGCTAGAGAGGGTTCTTGGTATCATTCTTGCAGCTTTTCTATAGTGTGAAATTATTTCAAGATTAAAAACTGTTTCTTTAAGTAAAAAGATATCCCTGGTCCAGCAGGAAGACCTCCTGATTTTGTCCTGACAATCTGAGATAGATCCTATCATCCCCATTGTAATGACACAGAGCTGAGGCTCAGGGGGGCTAAAAAAAAGTGCAGAGTCAACATGGGAACCCACGTCTAAATCCAGGGCCGCAGCCTTTATCTACCACATCATTATCCTGTCTTCTAGAAAAAGGAACTCAGGGCCGATGAAGTGGAAGAAATATGTCAGTTGTCACGAATGGCGACTCCCCACCCAGGCACAGCCCCCGTCCCCATGATGACTTACAGTCTTGGCTTTGTTGAGATGCGTCATCTGAATGTAGCCCCGGTCATGGTGGGAGAGATAGAGGAAGTAGAAGGGGAAGCAGACCCAGAGGTAAAAACAAGGCACCCACACGAGGATGGTGTTCTGAAAGCACTTGGTGAAGTCAGGGTTGCTGGTGTTCCACGTGACGGTCCACTCCTGCGGACACAAACATAGGCGAGGGCTCAGCGGGACGCACCAAAGAGGGACAGGGGCCGGTGCGGAGTTCAAACCCAGGGGACACGGGCCTCAGGAACACAGACAAGATCCCTACATGCAAGGCCGTCTCAGGCAGAACATGCAAACTGGGAAGATCGATCAGCAGCCAGAAAGGCTAAGAACCAGGAATGAGGAAGAAAGGTACAAGGTGCGCCTCGTGGCACGTACCAGGCAGGTGCCTGAGCCTTTACGAAGGATGGAGACGGACGTTTAAAGGAATCCGGGAGGGTATTCGCCTGTAAACTGAAGTCCTTTAGTCGTATGAATGAATCGTTCCTACTTGACTGTCTTGTGAATCGAGGACTTTCTCAACTGTCTCATCACCATCGCCACCTCCATCACCACCATCATCACCATCACAGTCACTTTCACCACCACCACCAAGGTATCAGATGGAGGGAATAACTTCATAAGTCGTATAAATGTCTAACCACTAAGCTGTACACCTGAAACTATATAACACTGAATGTCAACTAACTGAAACAAACAAACAAAAAATCACCATCAACACCCTCACCCCCATCATCACAGATAATACCAAAACTACAGTTCTGCATGCTAGGCCCTAGTCTAAGTGCTTTAGATGTATTATCTCCTTTAATTCCCTAAGTATTGTCCTTTATCCCTCCTTTTTCAGATGCGAAAACTGAGACACAGAGAGGTTCAGTGATTTGTCCAGTAGCCCAGCTGCTAAGCCATGGAGCAGATTGAAACTCAGGGTATTTGGTCTGGAGTCCCTGCATTTTTACCACTAAACTATCTAGGCTTGGAAACAAATATGCTTTAACTACTTTTATTTTTTAAGAAACCTGCATTTTGTCAGAGACATGCCAAATAAATACTTACTTACGAGTATCTAGATCAAGTATGTCTGCCCAAGAATAAGCTTCAACCAGCTGTTAAGACTTCAGTAACGGAGAATTTAATTCAAGTCCTGATCTGACCACTGACTGACCAGTTACACGACTTTGGGAAAAGTTATTACCCTACTGTGGGGTCTCAATTTCCTATTGATTAGGTCAGATTAATTTAGAGGTCTGGAATAGGCGACCTTTACACCAATTTGGCCCACAAATGGTTTGTAATTATTGTTGTTTTAAACATGCTTTAAATTTTTTTTTTATTAGATGCCAACATTTAGATTAGATGCCAACATTTCAAATCAGGAAATTTCATATAAAAATTTGGATTTCTAGCTTCTCTTAAAAATATGAGAAAATTTGGCAGCACTGGGCCCGTATTCCTACTTCACAGCCATCAGCAAGCGCTGGGGCATGGCCAGCCCCTGGATAGGGTCCATGTGTTCCAGTTGGCCAGTCCCCACGCATACAGCCTACTTCTCACCTAGCCCTCTCTCTCCACTCTCTCCAGATTTCTGATTCCACAAGCCTTCCCCCAGTCAGATAAGTGAGACCGCCAAGGAACTCCAGGGAACCTGGAATCAAACAGCTCCATACAAGCTTTAAAGCTACACCAACGAATGTTAAAAGAGAAAGTGACGGGAACATCAACAAATGTTAGAAGAGAGATGATGGGAACAAGCAGATAATTTCACTTAAACATCTGACAATCTGATCAAAACATATACTCCACGCATTTCAAAAAAGAGACCTAGTCATGTACAACAATGTGAATATACTTAACACAACGGAGGTGTGCACTTAAAAATGTTAAAGGTGATTTAAAAAATAAAGACTCTGACTTGAAGGAAAAAAAGACAGAGGTCTAGGTATTAAGCAAATATGGTGTATCTAAACTGGTTCTTCGGAGATATGATTGATAAACAGTTCCATGATATAAATGGTTGTTTTTCCAGAACCAAGAACAGGGAATCAATGAAATGAAAACTTTAAAAGATTAACCCTCACAAAGGGGTCTAGCTAGAAACTTCTAAACACAAAGAAACCCTAAGAAGGACAAAGGCACTTGGGCACTTGGAAGACAGCCTTGTAAATAAGAATTTCATCATGGAGAGAGGGGTGATTTATATCAAAGACTGATTTAAACTGGTTTCCCACCACTTGTAATTCTTAGGTGACGGTAAAAAAGGGACTTAAGCTAGTGGTGGTGATTATATTCTGAACAGTTTCTGAGCAGTTGCCAAGAAAAAGCTTATTCCAAAAAAATTTGCCCTTCTACTAAGAAAATGATGCTGGAGCTTAACCTGTGCAGTTATGTATACGAGCAGCTCAGTTCGTGTGAGATATTCCAATAACCTCATCCTTGCCCCAATTATTCCTTGCCTGGATTACTGTACGAGTTTCCTACCCATTCCAGCCCCTCCTGGCCCCACTACGTCCTCACCACTACAGCCAAAGTTATCTAATCTGTCCATCCATCTATACATGCATCTGTAGATATATCTACCTGCCCACTCGTAAACCCAGCCAACCATCCATCTCTCTATCCATCCACTAGTCTAGCCACCCACCCAGCCATCCATGTCTCTCTCTATTAACTTACTAATAGGTAATACATTTGTGTCCTCAAACTTTTTCAAACTACACGAAATGCTATACTACGAAAAATAAGTCTTCCCTCAACTCGCAGACCCCCATCCTACCCTGCAGGCAAAGCTGCCGTTGCTAACATCTTGTGTGTCCGTCCAGATATCTTCCAAATACTGTGTGTATCTATTTTGTTTCCCCCAAAGGTACCGTAATACATGCCCGTTCTTTACCTTACTTTTTTTATTTAACTAATACTAGAAACTGATCTACTTTATTCTTGACAGCTTAATTCTCTTTTGAACAAAGGGTAGAAGTGATCAGCCATCTTCCCATCCTGGTCCCTAACCCCCAAGTTCTTCTCTGTAGAGGCAACTGTTATCGGTTTCTTATGTATCCTTCCAGAAAATACTTTAGGCATACATAGCAAAAATCAATATATATTTTCTGTTATCACAAGGAAGGAGCCAACTCTATATGCTGTCCTATACCTTGTTTTCTCCTAATAATAGGTCTTAAACCTATTATTACACATAAACAGCTACTCATTTCTGTGCCAGTTGCTTTATATGCCACCGTGTGAAGGACTTGATTTAATGAGTATCCTGCCAAATGGGCACTGGGCTATTCTCACAAACAATGCAGCAGTGAATAAACAACAAACTACATGACATCACACACAAACATAGTTTAAGATCGCCTTTTAAAAGTGAATTTCCTGGTCAAAGGGTGCACACCTTTAAAATTTAAACAGACACTGCCCTCAAAATGGATACCATCAATTTACACTCCACCCAACAAGGTACAAAAGCAACTACTTCCCAAACTATGATGTATCACAAGCTTTGACCTCCGCCAATCTGATAGCAGAAAATATCTCATGGTAGCTTAGCTTTCCTTTTCCCTCTATGAGTGAAACGAAAGATCCTTCCATATGTGTTTGAATGCAGCTGGGATTTCCTGCTCAGAGGAAAATGCATAGACTTACATACTTGTGTTATAATAATAAATGGGACAGATCTCATCGCCCTCTCCGCTCTGGGTAACAACCTCTAATGGCTCCCTATCACCTCTGAGAGCTGATCTTTGCTGTGGGTTATGAGGCCTTCCACACTCTCAAGCCCCATCTATTTTCTCCTACAGTTTCTCCTGCCCTGTTCCCCAGGACATCAGCTAAGGGATTCACTCAAATAAGCACTTGCCAAGCATATGCCAGGCACTGTTCAAGGGGCTGGAGATTCAGGAAGGCCATGGCCCCTGCCTTCAAGGCATTCCCCGGCTGCTGGTCAAATGAATGGTTCTTTGCGGTGCCTCTTGCTAGATGCTCTCCCTGTAATGTCTTCCCATCATAACACACTCCTATTCATCCTTCAAATCCCAACTCAGGGGCCCCCTTTAAGAATCCTTCCAAGCCATCAGACATTCTCACCCCACCACGTCAGCAATGATTTTCTTACATGTCTGTCAATACTTCTGTCCTGCAAGGACCATGCAACAACCTTGGTGCCAGGACCATGGTGGATATACCTGATTCCTATCCTCCTACCCAGCAGGTCCCCAGAGATCATTAAGGAAAAACATGGCCCAAGCCATGCCTTCCCTCCCTAGCATTATTTCCTACATTACTTAAAAAAAAAAAAAAATCCACCCAAGTAGAACCTGGTGCTGACTCCTGGCTTTCTGATCAAGCGGACAGGGATTAAAACTTAGGCTCTGACCTCATGTGAACCTGGGCAGGTCTCCCAGCCTGTCTCCTCACCAGTAAATCAGTCAAGAAAACCCAAGGGCCTGGAAGGGAGTGTGTGTAAGAGGGGCAGTGCAAGCTCTTGAGACAGTAAGTCACGGCTATTAGCAGATACTAATAATTCATAATAATTGCCAGCGCTACCTCCAGCGATGCCCAGTCAGGATGCGTCAAGGACAAAGAAAAGCTCAAGTTAGGAATTGAGCAGGAGGAAATCTGGGAGCATCTAAGGACACGGGAGTCCACGAAGAAGAGGGCAGAGCAACGCTTTGCAAAGGGAGGCGTTTACTCTGCAGAGGGCAGCTTCCTGCTCAAAGCCAGATGCTGACCTTGACCCAGAGGGCAGAGGTGAAGGGAAGAGGAAGGTGGAACATGAAATGGGGACATGTTGCTGTGAACACGAACTTTCACTGCTACACAAGGCAGCCATCTCGTCCCCCACCCCCACATGGCCTCAGTCACTGCTGCCACGGCCAACGGTGGCCCTGACCACAACTGTCACAATAAAGATAAGCATGTCAGGGCCTCCTGCGTGTCCCGCACTGGCTGGGACCTTGATGTCTCCTCTGTCCAAAGGGACTCCCTCACTACCCCCGGAGATAAGCAGCATGCCCCCCTCTATGCGGGGTTTCTGGGGGAAGCAGCGAGTGCTGAGGGTCATTAGAAGGTTAAGGAAGGATAACTGCCGCCTAAGTCAGCCAGTCCCTCACTGCCCCCAACCCAGGGAGAACAGCTACTCCTGGCCTTCC